TGGATTCACATAAATATCAAATCACTGCACTTCCATTTGCTAGCTCTGTGAAAACATATGACACTTAACCTCTTTGAGCCTTAATAGCCTTATTTGTATAAGGCACTAAGAATATCTATTTTGTTGATTTGTTGGGAAGTTGATACTTAAAATATATATAGCACCTAGAACACAGTAGGTTCTCAGAAAATGTTAGCTTTAATGATAATAATCATCATTGCCATTATTGCCAATATACTTGGTTTAAAGTTAAGCTTTTATCCATTTACTATATCAAGGAATAATTGTTTGGTAAGCCTGGCTCAGCCTCAGGAGCAAACAGGAAATGTATTTTTTCATTGGCCAACATATGAAGATAAAGAAAAAAAAAAAAAGAAACAATGTAGGAAATGGAGGGTAGCTGTGAGATTATCTAGTTAGGGGGTAAGTATGAAGTACAAAGGGCAACTCTTAAAGCAAAATATATGAATAAGCGCTCTGAGTTTCCAAATACAAACAGCAGATCTCTGAATAACACGGGCCTCAGCTATGGAAACACTCTGGGGATTCCAAAAATCTCTTTTCTGCAGCTTGTTTTTTGCAGAGCTTTCTCCGTGGCCTCCTGGCTTCTCTTGCTGTTTGAAGAGGAGAGAGTATTGGAATCATTATTATGTAGTATAAAAACATGGTGCAATTTGGATTATGGACCCATATATCCTTCCTAGCACCTTTGCAATTCGCCTTTCATTCAGGTAGTTTGTTATCGGAAGCCTGAGATAGAACTACAACCCCATAATTCAGAGGCCTGCTGTTAGCTGTCTGGGTATGTCCATATGTGGCTATTTACTGTGGGTTGCAGGGCCAGTATAACTTCTCTGTAACAATATAAAAAATTAGTTTAAACTTGCATTCCTACAAACTTTTAATTATCTACAAGTATGTTTCAATAAAGATGACAGAATTAAAAGATAGAATTGCATTTAAAGTAAGGAGCCATACATGAAGGGAGAGAGACAGTTACTCTTCAACGGTCTATCTATGCCAGGTGTATTTCTGCCTCCAGTTGATTCTAAAGCAGAGAATCTCTGATGTCTAATAATTTTTAATCATAGAGCAATACCATACTGTGGCAGGTGGGATCTATTTTATAGCTGACATCATTAATGCTTGATGCATTTATCCACCTGTTAGGAGCATTAGTCAAAATTTAATAGGAGACATATTTATTACAAGTGGAATTAAAATAGATCAGATATTGAGCACAGAAATATAAGGTATATATATTTTTATACATGTATTTTATGTATGACCCATGGTAAAGATGCTTACAAAGTAATTATTACTGGTATATTTTAAAAATCAGTAGAATTTTATTTAAAAATTTAATTTTAGACAGACTTTAAAATTTCTAACATGCTAATAATTTTTATTACATAGACATATTAATTAATTAATTCCCTTCTTCAAAAGTTTAACTTTTGAGGCCACATTAAAACTTTTAATGCAAGCATCACGATGAAGCATTCTCATTCTAATACTGGCAGAAAGAGAGCAATGGTTGCTGTTTCCATGGGCCTCACCATGTATGTGGTAGGCTCACCTTATGTAACTTCAAAGAAAGCTAAGTGCTATGGGTTTAATTTTTAGGGTGCGTGTATTGGGGAATAAATAGTGGAGCTCTGTTTAGAGAAGCCAGTAGGAGAGAACAGAAGAACACGTGGGGAGGGAGAGGGCACTTGTCTTGTAGGATTCTAGAAGGAAGGACAGACATGAATATTCCAGCACTATACAGGGCTTGGTGTGCTGTAGAGGAGGAGAGGGTCACTCATCAAAAGGAGAGTGGTTAAAAAATAAGATCGGAGTGGAAAAAAACACAGTACCAATTTATGTATCACCTTGTAGATTGTGGTGAATAATTTGACTAGTAACGTAAATGTGAACCTTTTAAAATAATTATTCATGGTTAATGGATTATTTGTATATATCCATTCTTTGCTCCTAGATTCTTTCCACCTATGTACTGTAAACATCACCAAAGATTAGAAATCTATTTTTAATACTTGCTTTTCTTCAATGTACAGAGATTTAACAGATCCATAGTGAGCACTGAAATGTTAATTTTGAGTAAATTATTACTTTTTCACACAGTTTGTAAATGACCTAAATTAATGGAATTTGAATTTAAGAGAAGCTGAGAAGGTCTCTCTACCTTCTGCCTAATCATAGGAAGTATTATGTATTTTTTAAAATTCGAAATGGGAATGGTCATCTCGATAGACCAGAGTACATGATACAAAAAATGAAATAAATTGAAAAGAGAGCTAAGTAGGGATGAATAAATTAAGAGATTAAGAATTAGAAACCTTTGGTAAAAGTATCATCACTCTACTCTTTGGTTATTTCTATATTCTCTATTACTAGATTTTTTTTTTTAAATTGCTTTATGTAGTAGAAATTATTAGAATCAAAGTTATCATTAAAAAGTTCCAATTTTTAGCCAGGTGGTAGTAAGTATGTAACAGGCTGAAAATTTTAGTTTGTTTATTTTTATAATATTAAGTTTATTGGGCTTATTTAGTAAGTGAATAATTGAAGCTTCTGCTAAGATGAAACCACAAAAATTATATATTAGTACACTCATGCAATGTAAGTAAAAAGACATAGTTTTGTCCCACTGGTGAGTGTAATCAAGCTAAGCAAGCAGAAGAAATCAGACCAAATTCCATGCAAAAACAATAAATATTTCAAAATATGTTGATATGGTACTGCCATATTCTTACTCAGAAAGATATTTTATGCAAATTATATGGCTTTGATATTGCTGTTTGATTAGGGCTTGATTTACGAGATTCCTATCTTTATTTAATATCACAATGGTTACTGCTAAGCTATAGTAATATTTAGTATCAATGAGAGACTATAGTTGGGTACCAAAGAAGGGAAAACACCTTTAGACTAAATATCTAGGGGGATTATTCAGCACAGTTGGTGCATGTCTTTAAGTCATTGTCCAAAATTGGAGTTCGGTTGGATTAATAATATATTTTCATTGATTAATCTTACACCTTCTACCCAAAGGTGTGTGCTGTTATAGGGGAGCAGATCTTCACTGTGCTTATTATATGTTTCAACTATTAAGAATAACCCTGATACACGATTGCAGAACTGGAAAACAAAAAAAATATTTAGAAGCTTTCAAGTCATTGTTAATCTTATCATTAACGTTGAACTAGATTAAATTTTAGAGAAGCAACTAATATTGGACACAACTTATTAGAAGTTAGCCAGTCTGAGACTAATCTCATGGACGTTCCTGACTTTGTTGAGGAAAAATGGTGGATTTGGGATATTAATGATACAATAATTTAGATATATATATTATTCAATATCTACTTTGTGCAAACCGCATGAAACCTATCTCCGATTTATTCAATTATTTAATACATTTAGTAACATACAGTAGTCCCTCTTATCCACAGTTTCACTTTCTGTAGTTTCAGTTACCCACGGTTAACTGTGGTTAGAAATATTACAGTATTTCGAGAAAGAGAAATTACATTCACATAACTTTTATTATAGTATATTGTTATAATGATTCTATTTTATTATATTAGTTATTATTTTTCATCTCTTACTGTGCCTAATTTATAAATTAAAATTTATCATAGGTATGTATGTGTAAGGAAGAAACATATATATCGGGCTTGGTGCTATCTGGGGTTTCAGGCATCCACTGGGTGTCTTGGAACATGTCCCCCACAAATAAGGGGGGACTACTGTATACTAAGTGCTTGGGATATATCAATGAGCAAAACAAAGAGAGTTTTCTGTCATCCTGGGAGTAGTATTATAACCCTATAAATGAGGTTAAGATAAAACATGATATAGGACTATAGAATTTGGGCACACCTATATTTCTATGAAGTATAATAAAAATAATTTAATGTTGGTGCTTTTAAGTTCCTTACTAATTACTATATCTACTATAGATTGTGTAAATGCACTTAATTAGCTTAATGGTGAATATGAGGTCTGCAACTATTTAGACTACCTTTTGTATTTCCTGAATCTAATGTAAGTTATTTATGTTTCCTTTTTTTTGAATTCTTCAATTTACCAGTTTGCAAATATTTGTGTGGCAATATACATTTTTCAAAGTTTGAAAAACTTCCCTTTTGTCATTGTTCTACCTTCTACTGTAGGTCTTAAAATTTGAAATTTAGACATACTTCACACAAATATATCCAAAGTTTAGCCCACTTAAAAAAGCAGACAGTTTGGAGGGTAATATATTAGAAGAATAGGTTTATGTTTTGTTTTGGGTTTTTAGTTTTCCATTTCTTATTTTTGGTTCATTCAAATGAATTTATTCAATGTGTCCAAGATTTGCTTTCCTTTTCTTTTCCACATAGCTGTGTGTTTCTTCCTTGGTAAAAGTTAAGTAATATACACTATTTATAACTTAACATTTAATTGTTAGCTTAATCTCACTTCAAGGGGTAAAGGCTATAGTTCATTGATAGTGATGAAATAACCTAGGTGGCTTTCATATAAATAGCAACAAATGTGCACAATAGATACATTACATGGTATATTTAACAACACTGCTAAAGAGTAAAGATGGGAGTTCAGTCTTTCCTCATGAAGATACACCTGAATGCATTCAGAGACAATTTGGTTCTGCAAGCTTGGAGGAAGTAATTGTTATTCAACAGAAATCAACTAGCTTTGCATATCAGTAAAATACACACACATATTCTTATCTATTTTGTGAGTGCTCTGGAACTGATAGCAAAATAGCAAAATATATATTTATGAGAACTAGAAATGTTGTATTCTTTTCAATCACATAAACTCAAGGTAATTATGAAATTAACTCTGAGAATATGTGAAAAATGTTACTTCCTAAGCAAGTAAAGATAGAATAAAATCACGAATTTTATATCAGGCTGCATAGTTTTTATATCCACATTTGTACCCCAAATGCCATGTCATTAACTATTTTTATTGTTCATTTCTAGATGGAAGACTGTATTTGAAAACTACTGTCATGTACTGAATCTTCCCTGTTGAAGAAATCCATGTTATAGTAAAGAACTTTGCAGTCAGACATTCGTCATGCAAAAGTTTGGAAAAAATAAAGTCCTTTTGAAGGGAACTTCCTCAATTTTGCGTATTAATGTTCTTTGAAAGTTTAAGTATTCTACAGAAAAAAAAACAAAAAACAAAACATTTTATCCATTGATTTTTCACCTGTGGTCCATACCAGAGACCTGAGAATGTTTGTAAATGTACAAGTATCAAACTTCTTACAGTTAATAACTGCAACTTGCTGCTGGACACTTGTATACGGAGTTAAAGGCAGGTCTAAATGAGACCTAGCTTTTCTTTTTTTTTTTTTAATGGAATGAACCATTTTCCTCTTCTGAAAATTCTGTATCTGAGCACATCAAGAGACTCTTGTAGCAGTGGTTACCCAGACTTACAGAATTATGTCCTCCAGAAACCAGCAAGAACACTTGGCAATGAACTTGTAGGGGGCATAGAGAATTCTGAAAAGAATAAAGAGTAATATTCTGTTTCATTCAATTTTAAACTCTCTAATTGTGAGATTTCTCCTGAAGATTTTTTTCACATACTTTCCAAAAGACCAACAAATGGATGTTGACAACAACCCAATGAAATAACATTTTGCATATCTGAAAAGAAGCATTGAATATAAGCCAAACGGTCTCACTGAAGGTCTTTTTTTTCTTGAAAATAAAAATATATATATATAAATGTAACATGTTTTCATTCCAAACTGGTAGTGGTATATAGAATTAAAGATAATAATGTTGCTTCTTATTCAAGCTGTTGGTCATATGTACAGTATATAAACATAAAACACACAAGGAAGGTATTATGTATGCAGTAGTATACTAGAATTTAGGAAAACGAAAATTTTAGAAAATATGTTTTGTCACCCTGTTTGGTCAGAAAGATGTCTTTCTGGTTTTAACGCATGCAGGCATGTAAATATTTGTCTGGAGTCACAGTATTAATGAATGAGATCTTAAGCATCTGGTGACATCAGAACTCTGTGTCAGCCACTTTTTATTTGTATATTGAACTCTAGTTAGTGCCCCGAACAGCACTATTGATAATGGATTGTGGCTAAACAGTAAATCAAAACACCAGAAATATTTTTATATGTTAATGTCATATTATGTTAATGTTGCTGAAAAACAAAACCTAACCCTTGATGTACCAGTCCAATACCATGTAGCGCTGAGTGAAAAATAAAGTTAAAATGTGTTGTGCTTCCCACCCTGGACAGAGGGAAGGGTGGCTACGTGTTATTTTCACTGTCTTTTTGAAAGTTACAGTATGTGTTTTCACTTTTGTGCAGAAAACTGGAAGTAAAGCTGCAAACAGTGCTTATTATACACTAAAGTTACCTTCTCTTTGTTTTTACATGTCTGGAGTTAACACCTTTAAAGACTGATATGAAACAGTACAGTCACTGTACATTTTATGATTTTTTTCTGTCATCTTAAAATTTTATGATCGTAACATTATTTATTACCATAAAACAGCAAAATCTTAAATGTCTAAGAAAACTAGCTTAAAATACTTAAAGATAGTTCTGATTGGGTATTAATTATTTGGTTAAAAAAATAACATTATAGATACTCTGGCACTAAGTTTCTATTCCTTTTAGGTCTTCCTTGCAATACTGGAACATAATTCTTTTGTGTAGCTCGCTACTAACCAGCTAAGTCCATTTTTAATACAAAAAGGTTAAATGTACAGTTCTTATTTTAGCTTGCTTTAAAAGGGAGCAATATTTTTTATTTAAAGTATCGTTAGTAAATGCTTTGTAGAAACTTGGTTTTCTAAGTATAGTTCTTCCACAACCATCTTTTGTTGTTTGAGCACAGGAGATTCTATTCCTAGTTATGTGTATTTTTTCCCCTCTATGCAGTCTTTAAAGGATTACAACACTTAAAATTGGATGGACTTGTGGCAAGCTTTTGAATCATGCATTTTTTGAAAGATTTTTTAAAAAGCCTACAACTTACATATGTAGTAGAATCAGCCATTGCTCTGCTCCTGGCATAGAGTCACCTGTTAAGTGGGTTAAATAGTTTTAAAATACATACTTTCAAGACTTTTGAGAATGCTTTAGTGTTTGGTTTGACATAAAAAGAAATTTTAGCAAGTATTAAAGGAAAAAGCTATCAGCTGTATGTTAAGAGAGACTCTTACTAACATGTTGTAAATATTACAATTCACGAAATGTTATTGTTAAGTCTATAACTTAATTTTTCCCCTTTTTTTAGTTATACAGGTTGGTTTGGAAATTTGTGTTTTGGCATAAACAAGTAAAATTGTGCCCATTTTATGGTTTCCATGCTTTTGTAATCCTAAAAATATTAATGTCTAGTTGTTCTATATTATAACCACATTTGCGCTCTATGCAAGCCCTTGGAACAGAACATACTCATCTTCATGTAGGACCTATAAAAATTGTCTATTTTTATCTATATATTTAAAGTTTTCTAAAAATGATAAAAGGTTATTACGAATTTTGTTGTACAAAATCTGTACAAAAATCTGTTTTTACATCATAATGCAAGAATTGGAAATTTTTCTATGGTAGCCTAGTTATTTGAGCCTGGTTTCAATGTGAGAACCACGTTTACTGTTATTGTATTTAATTTTCTTTTTCTTTTCAACAATCTCCTAATAAAACTGTCTGAAATCTCCCTGTGACTTTATTTATAGTTCGTCTTTATTAAATTTTGTGAAATGCATGGCATCGAAGGAATATTTACTTTCTAATGGGAGGCATCTAAAAACAACATAAGTCAGCTCTTTGCAATGCAAAGGGAACAATGCTCAATGATTTTATTTAACATGCAACTGCTTCTATCTCTAATATGAATTACTGTGGTGAAAAACATCATAAAAGCACACTCTGTAGTTATTGTTTAACAAGCAGATTTTCCATATTTTGTTTCTTGCCAGCTAAGCAAACTGCCCACATATACATGATTTATTTATGTACATTTCTCAGTTTATGAAGCTGTTATTTGTACCTTTTTCCTTTATATTCTTATATTCCCATGATTCTTATTTTGCAAAGCTTTGTGCTGAATAATGTAAAGTAGACATGTTGATGGAACAAAATATATTATTCCCATATCTAAAAGAGTGTAGATATGTAACTCAGTGTTTTATTTTCGATCTCTATCATTGGAAAAAAATGCCTTTAGAAACTTCGAAATTACAATATTCTTTAATAATATATAAACATTTTAATCAATCAAAAGTGCAGCATTTGAAGAAATATTGGGTTGCTTTCTCTGTGACTATTCTAAACATTCCCAAGAGAATGAAAAATGGATTTCCTTTCTGTCTAAAGGAATTATTTTAATGAATTCTTGAAATAGTATATTAACAAATTCATGATTTTTTCCTAATAAAACCTAAAATGTTTATTTGACTATTACAAATACATTTTTGTCTTCTGTCATCACATGTTTATGTCAGTAAGACTTGTACTAGAACATCATACAGTCTCCAGATGTTAGCAGAAGTCAGTGATAATTTAGGTTTCCCCCATGCGTTTTCATTGGGACTAGCAAATTTACAATCTGCACAAAAGCCATGTATTACTAGAGGACAATATCTTATAAATATAAGTTATATAAATTGCATTTTTAAAATACAGAAAATAGAGATGTTAATAGAATCAAAACATTACTGTAAATTGCATTGTAAAAATATCACTTCCTCGTATGCAGCTTGGTGCTAACATTTCTCTTTAATATGTACAAATGATATATAAAAGCTGAACTGATCCTCATTTATTCATTTAAGCAGATTCATGAATAAAGCCTCTCTTCTGCACAAAGCATTGCGCTAGATGTTGTAATGACTGAAGTTGAAAACATAGTTGTTGTCCCAGAGGAGCTTATAATTTTATTGAAATAGGGAATCTTACCCCCAGGAAGAGAATAAGTGTATAATATTTAATCTTTATCACTTAGCATCTATATATCTATAGGATAAGTAAGGGCTTAAAATGACTCAAACAGCATAAATTCCTAAATGCCAACTGAGTGATTTAGGTAATGAGTGACATTTGTAGTAGCAGCATCATTTACATTTAGAAATTAATGAGATGAAGATTTTGAGTTCAACAATTGGATCAGTTAGGAGTCCTCTGATTGGATGTAACAAAAACAAATTTCTGCAAGGTTAAAGAGCAAAAGAAATTGGTTATAAAGACAGAGGGGTAACATGGAATCCCCAAAACAGGAATGCACCCAGCTCCCAGGGACCAAAGACCCTTTTCTAAGCTTCACCTTTCTCCTACTCTCAGTGACTAGGCTTCTTTTTCCTTTCATTGCAGACACGCTTGCTTCTCTTGTTCATTTCTTGACTCCTCTATTATTTAGGAACATAAGACCCAGCCCTCAGAAGTGAACAAATCATTCTCTCTCTCTTGTCCTAAGTCAGATTCCCTGAGAGTTCTGATTGCCTCAGGTCAGAGCACATGCCAGTAAGTTAAGGCGACAGTACATTAGATGAGTTTAGGGAATTTTAGAAACTATTGTGTCTAATTAAATTGGAATCTCTGGGGTTGAGGCTAGGGCATCAGGATTTTTAAGTTCTTCAGGTGATTCTAACGAGGAGCTAACGTCCGCTGTCTGGGAGGATGGCAAGTATCACATTACAGAAAACAATTAGTGGGGCTTCCGCTATGGGGCAGGGAGAGATAGCTGGGGTGCATTAGGGGACATAGTAAGCTGTGCAGACACTACAAAAGCCAACTAATAGTTCTGTAAAATCAATTAAATATTTTTGAAAAGTCAATTTTAACATTGTGAACTTAATTCTCAACTGAATATGAATTTACAATAGGAGTGTAATGATTTTTTTTTTCTAAATAAAATTATTGATAAATCTGACCCCAGTAGCAACGTCCCAGGGAGGTAAAAATTCTACCTCTGTCCTTATTGACATTTCCTCCTTCTCAATGTCCTAAACGTGTTTCTCAGTTCATACCATTTGGGCACAGCCCTTGGTTTTTTTATGCCTGGGATCCAGTTTCAGAGGAGCATCCCTAAGCTGTCTTCTAAGAGAGCTTCAAGGTTTGCAGAAGCAAAAATTATCGTCTTCTGTGGTTCTCAATGCAGATAGAGTAAATATTTCAGACAATTATAATAATGGGAAGTATAAAGTCAGGGGAAGGGAGGAATGCTTTTACACTCTTCTCATACTGGTAAAATGCCTGTCCATATAAGTAGACTGTGATACGTTTTACAAATATAATGTAATACATAACTGTGACCACTAACAGTGCTGTATTAATACTCAAAAAAAAAAAATACATACTCAAAAACACTATAGATAAATCAAAACGGAATTCGATGCTATAGTGAGGTTGGCTTCCGGATAAACAGTATTATAAATAGATTTGGTAATTGATCCAGAGCTGTTAGCCACTTTGCTAGTAGTTTCCAATACCCTCTCAGGTATTTTGGCTGCTCTTTCATCAATGCTAATTGCGTGACAAACTTTGTCTATTGCATTAGCAAGAGAGGAAGATAGGTTGGTTGAGCTGTCTGTGAAACTGTGCATTGCTACTTTTTATTTATTGTGTGTACTCACTTTCAACAATATATTTCAAGAAGATATTTTAAAAAATAAGTAAGGATGTAAATGGTAACTAGTTATTAAAAGTTATTAATTTAAAAAATCCCATTGTTGGTATCTACCACAAGTGTGGAAGCTGGGAGAAGACGTTGAAATCAGTCAGCCTTTTTCCTATAAACTCATCCTGTTACACTTATAAAGAAAAAGGGGCCAGGCCCAGTGGCTCGTGTCTGTAATCCTAGCACTTTGGGAGGCCCACGTGGGAGGATTGCTTGAGGCCAGGAGTTCAAGACCAGCCTGAGTGACATTATAAGATCGATCCTGTTTCTACAAAAAGTGGAAAAATTAGCCAGGCACAGTGGTATGCACCTGTAGTCCCAGCCACCTGGGAGGCTGAGGCAGAAGTATCTCCTGAGCCCAGGAGTTTGGGGTTGCAGTGAGCTATGAAGAGGCCACTGCACTCTGGCATAGGTAACAGAGTGAGACCCTGTGTCAAAAAAGGGGGGTTCCATTGAGTTGGATCTTTCAGATAACTCTATCTGGTTATCATGTGCCCAGATTCATTTATACTGAACGGTTAGTGGCTCCCTTCATTAATACGTTTTGATGGTTTTTAATACATACTTTAGGTATTCTTCCCTCTCACAGAGAGCTCTTGTAAGACAACAGGTACACATCAGGGCCAAAACAATAGTGGGCAAGGGATCTTGGGACATGGAATTCTCTGCAGTATAAAACAGAACAGGGCAAAAGCAGAGAACATGATCAAACAGCAAATGGGTAAATGACTGAATAGCACTATGTATTTTCAAGGAGAAGGGTAAGGGAGGGGGAGAAAATTCTTAATTGACTAACATAAAAGATAATTTAGCTTCTGGATTCAACAGCTATTTAAAGCTGACTATCTGTGAATTTGCTGACGCCTGTGCTGCCCCCATCCCCCGCCCCAATCCCTGCGGAATTGTTCCCCTCTGGTTGCCTGGACACAGCCAAATGTACCTCAATCTCGACTGGTCACCTAGCACTCTCCATTTATGTGCTGAGTATTCAGTATTAGACCCCACTACCTTCTGTTAATTTTTGCATCTGTGCCACGTGTTTCCATAGCAAACACCCAGGCATTCTTATTCTGACAAACACTGGGAATGTTGAAACATTCCCCCTAATACAGCAAACTGTCTCTGTACATTTGTCAGAGCAGTAAACCAGATATACCTTCCAACCATGAAAAATTCAAGCATGAGAAGACACTAGTTCTCTGTGTCTGTTAACCTCTAGGTTCTCTGAGTGGCCCCACTGAGGTCTCTTCCTTAAACTTTACAAGAAAGACTATCCATCTCATCTTATGGATGTTTGAAGGAACTTGGACCCAAAGGGACCCACAGTTCTCACCAAAAACCATCTTCTGACCTCCGATTCTTTACCCTACATCTTAACCTTGCTTTACAATCTGGAGGTGGATGGACAGTCAAGGTCACAAAATTAGTTTCCAGATACCTATTTACAAGTTCTGTGTGCTGATCTTGCATCCTGCCTTGGGATGTGGTATCCATTTTATTAATTTATTTATTAAATTTTAAAAATACTTTTAAAATGTTTGAGATAATTCTAGATTACAGGCAGTTGTAACAAATAACACAGAGACGTCCCATGAACGCTTCACTCATTTCCCCCTTTAAAATTTTGCATAAAAATAGGATAGCACCCCAACCAGGAAATTTATACTGTTACTATCTACCAACCTTATTCAGATACCACCTGTTTTACATGCACTCAGTTGTGTGTGTGTGTGTGTGTGGTTAGTTCTATACAGTTTTATCACATGTGAGATTCATACGACCATCACCACAGTCAAGATACAGAACAGTTTCATCACAAGGATCCCGAATGTTGTATTTTTATAACCACAACCACCAACCTCTCTCTCTACCTCCTTGAACACTGGCTAATGGCTAATCTGTTTCCATCTCCATAATTAATCTTTGTAAGAATGTTATATAAATGGATTCACACAATATGAAACTTTGATATTGCTTTTTTTTACACAGTATAATAATCTCTTGAAATCCACACAATTATTGCACTTATCGGTTGTTAATTC